GACCATAAACGTGGATTTTTTAAAGTTTTTTAAAGGATTATATACGTGGGTTTTTTTAAAGGATATTTAAAGGACCATAAACGTGGATTTTTAAAGGATTTTTTAAAGGATATTTAAAGGACGATAAACGTGGATTTTTTAAAGAAGTTTTAAAGGACCATAAACCATAAATCTGCAAAGCAGCTTTATGAGTAAGTTCACAATAAAAAAAAATACTTACGCTATCTCCGGCAAATCCAATGGGTTGCTGCAAATATTCTGATAAAATTTTCCTATTCCTGTAAATTGAATGTAAAGATCCAAAGATATTCTCTAAAAACAGCCTACAGCTCTTTAAGTCTTTAAGCTTTATAAAATATCTATGGAAAATACACACATATTTACTATTTTAGGTCCTTAAAAACTGGTTTGAAGATCTTCTAACAGAAGATTTCAGACCAATACAAGAAGATATTTTACAAAAATAAAATATACCAATATATTATAAACAGATTTAAAGATCTTCTACACTAAATTCTCCTGATAATGTTTTAAAGAATATAAATATATTATTTTAGGAGATCTTAAAATAAAGTTGTAACCCATCATCCACAACAAATATGTCTGATGAGCCGCTTGACCAAAGGCGAAACGCGTCGCTTAATGGTGAGTGTGTGTTATGGCTACTCAGCCATATGGCTACAAAGGGTATACATCATTTGATACGACCAAAACGACTCTTTGGACCAAATCCGTTTCAGGTTTCATTTGGAGTTGATTTAGAGGTGTCCGTCCGTCTGTCTGGCTGATGCGCACGACAACTCTCGAAGGGTCTATCCAATTCGGTCCAAACTTGGTACATCGTAATGTTATAAACATAGATCGAGTTCGGATATAGGCAATATCGGTCCATATCTGATACCTCCCCCACAAAGGTAGAATTTTTCAAAGAAAATATTTGATTGCACAGAAAGAAAAAGGATCATCCGATTTTGCTTTTTTGTTAACTTTGCAAATCATAATATTTTCATCAATTTCAGGTGTGAAGATGAACAATAATTGTCCAATCCATTAAGTACCTCTCCCACAAAGGGTCAAAATTGTGAATATGCACGAAGCTCATAAAACGCAAAATTAACATCCGATTCCATTCAGACATATTGGTACATCTCAATATTTCCATCAACACAAGACTTGTTATAAAGATGGTATTTCTTCTGATAACTCCACCCCATAGGGTTCCAATTCGAAATGGACAATATTTGTCCATTCCTTTACTTTTTTACTTTTTTTTAAATGTATTTCTAGTTGACAAAAATTGGTATTTTTTCTCACTCATATCCCAATTAGAAAAAAAACGTGCTTTCCCCAACCAACTTCACGCATTTCACCGTCGTCTGCACGTTTGTGCCACGTTTTTTACGTTGCTGTTACAACATTTCATTTTGTCTAATTTATGATGCTTGTTAAGAAGATACAGCAACAAAAAGACAAGAGAGGGCCAGACCAAAAACCGCAATCTTATTGTTGTTGTTGCTGTTACAAAATTGTAGGTTGTTCTCTGAGGTCCCTGTTTGTTTAATTAATCTGTTTATTTGTTGTTTTATTGTGCTTGTTTCATTTCTAGTCTGTTTGTTTGAGAGGTTTGGGCGACTAGACTGTTGTTGTTGTTGTTGATGTTTTTTTTTGGAAAATTTTAATTGGGTGATACAATCTTTTGGCTGCCTCCACTGGATGCTGTTTTGCTATCCCCACAATGGAGGGCACAGGCGATGTGATATCTTTAGATTAGAGACGCGACAACAACGAAATAGAATTATGAAATGTTGTAACTTTTTTTTTGTGGTGGGTGCAATAAACTTTTGTTGTTTATTAAAGAAATCGAAGCAGAAGACGGAATGGATGTCATACGAACAATTTAGTGACCACAAATAAAAATAAAATTTGAAATGTTTTTGAACTTCGGAATGGTCTCTTTTATAATAACACAAATGAATTGATATGATCTGATGGTGTTTATCAAGGCGCTTATTATGGGCAATTATAAGTTTCGATTGTTTATTATCAATTTGTTTATTTTTTTCCCACACCAAGTGGGGTTATTTCGAAATAGGTACTCAACCTCATATTTCTCTCAAGCTAATGCATCTATACCCAATCTTTATATACCCTACACCACATAGTGGTAAGAATATTATGTCTTTGTGCATTTGTTTGTAACATGCAGAAGGAAGCGAGATAGACCCATAGTTACTCTTCATAGAATCACTTTCAGAGTCGATTTAAGCCTGTCAATCCGTCTGTCCATATATTCTTGTGAACAAAATGCAGGTCGCATTTATTATCCGATTGAGATGAAATTTTCCAAACAATATTTGTTTGACCCAGGGACGAAACATATTGAAATTGGCGAGAATCGGTTTAATTTATATATTACTCCCATATATGTATTCAACAGATTTCGGGTTATTTGTGCGCCAAATGGCCAATATAAGTCCAAAAGATCTGAATTTTGGCACATCCAACCGAATTCAGTCTAGAAACAAGTACTTCAAATTTGCTGAAAAACGGATCAGATATAGCTACCATATACAGGGTGAGATAAAAAAACTGCAACAAAGTCAAATGCCATAATTTTTACATTTTTTTTTAAATTTTATTGAATGAAAGCCACAAATGACGGAAATACCATCAAATTTTAGAATAAGTTTATATTTGTTCGAATTGGTCACCTTTGGCACGAATTTTGGCCTTCAAACGGCCAATAAAACCGTCACACGCCGCCAGAATGTTGTTCTGCGGTATTTTGGCCCATTCCCGGCGAAGCGCTTCCTTGAGGTCATCGATACTTTGGTATTTTTTAGTGCCAACCTTGCTTTCCAACATACTCCAGCCACAATGGTCCAACGCATTGGTATCCGGAGATTTCGGTGGCCATCGTGCGCTGGAAATGAAGCGAGGAACCTCATTTTGTAACAATTCTTGGGTGGCGCGTGTTGAGTGCGATGGTGCTGAGTTCTGTTGGAATGTCCAAAGTCTGCGACCAAAATGCTTGCGTGCCTAAGGCTTTAATACACCCTCCAGAATATTTTCGCGTTAATATTCGGCATTTATTATGATGCCACGGTCGATTAATATGAGCGGGGAGCTACCTTCGGCTGTTAAGGCTACCCACACCACCGCCATGACCGGCGCTTGAGTTCTGGTGGCCAACCGAAGGTGCACATTTTCAGCTGACCTCTTTGGCAAGTAAACACCATCAATTGGGTGTTTACAAATTGCTTGACAACGAATGTTTTCTCATCGGAGAAAACCAAATTCGGCAGTTTACCACTTTCGGCCAAGCGAAGCAACTCTTTAGATCTTATGAGTCTATTTTCTTTCTATTGCGGTGTAAGTTCTTGCACTTTTTGGAATTTCAATGGCTTTACCCCAAGCTCATTTTTCAATATTTACAGAATAGAATATTTCGATATGTTCAGCTCACGAGCAATTTTTCGGTCACTGCGATGCGGGTTTCGATCAAGTCGCTTCTTTACTTTTCGAATCTTTTCTGCTGATGTTGTTGTTTTCTTCCGTCCACTTCCTTGGTGTCGGGCTAGGCTATCAGTATCACGGTAAAGAGCGATGGTACGAGACACAAAAGGTTTATTCACATTTAAATGCTGGAGTGCTCTAACCATAGCCACTTGTGGTTTTCCAGCCAAATATAAAGAAATCACACCATCGCGCTTGAATTCCATCACGAATAACTTTTCTTCTGGAAAATTCTCACCAAAATTCTTTTGTACGCTTGTAAACAATAAATTGAGCTGTCACTGTTTAACAGCTGTCGGTCGAGTGTCTTAGAAATGACAGCAGTCTGAAATTGGTTCTAGTTTTTTCATCTCACCCTGTATTTGTTTCATCCGATTTGGTGTTTAAGTCCCCACATTCCTAATATGCACACCACAAGATATTTGGTACAGGATATCCGATATAGCCAAGAAATACCTCTGCTTTATTTTACCAAGATCGGTTCAGATTTGGATATAGCTCCCATATATATCTTCAGCCGATTGTGGATTAATTGTGCACCAAATGACCAATATAAGTCCAAATGACCTGAATTTCGGCACATCCAACCGAATTCTGTTTAGAAGCATGTACATCAAATTCGGAGAGAAGCGGTTTAGATATAGCTATAGCTCCCATACACATATGTTTCATCCGATTTGGCTTTTAAGTCCCTCACATTCGTACTATGTACTGCATAAGAATGGCATTTGGTACAGGATATCAGATATAGCCCAGCCAAATTTTATCAAGATCGGTTGAGATTTGGATATACCGATATAACCGATTTCGGGTTAATTGTGCTCCAACTGGCCAATATCAGAATTTTGGCACAATTTGGCCGAATTGAGTCAGAAGCAATTATTAAAAATTGGTTCAGGTATAGCTATATACCCCATATATATGCAGCAATGATATTTGGTACCATATATTTTATAGAGCTCAAAAATACCTCTGTCACATTTTATCGAGATCGGCTAAGATTTGGATTTAGCTCCCATATATCCCTAATAATCTCTGATTTCAGGTTTATTGTGGAAATAATGACTAGCTAATATCTGTCCAATTGGAGTGAATTTCGGGACGTGCGTTTCCGTTTGGTGGAACTCGTCTCCGATATATATTTTTTTAATATAATCCTTCTCGATGGGATATCATGCACTCTATAGCAATGTTATTTGGTATAAAATCGATTCAGAATTGTATATTCCCCCCCCCCCCCCCCCTGTATTAGCTCCCTCTGAAACTAAACTATAACTGCTCTAAAGCCAAATGTTGGCAGGTGGTATGATCTACGTCAAATAAATTCTTTTGTTACAAGATCTCAACCAAATATGTATAGTGGTGTAGGGTATCATATAGTCGGCCCGTCCGACTTTTGACTTTTCGTTGCTCTTTTTATTTTAACTTACCACAATTGACATATTTAATTTAGTTTTTCTAACCTCTTCTCACTTCTATTTTAGTTTCCTTCTTTGGCGATGGCTACATATCGATGCCGCTGCAAGAGGCGAAAATGTCGACAAACATACGTGTTAAATTTCGTACACATCAGGAGAATGCATTTCTCTTTATGGCCGCAGGACGGACAGATTATTGTCTAATGCGTTTGGAGGCAGCGGCCATTACTTTTACCTATAAAATAGAACGCAATGTTGTCCAGGTAAGTTCGCAATCTCCAGCATTCTTAAGAACCCCCCACCTCCTGATTATTAACTGCGCATGATCACATGATTACAAATCGCTAACACAGATCTTTATGTTAAGTGTGCGAATGCCAGCCTAACTGCTTAGAAATCAGTTGGAAGTCAATATTTATGGTCACTGCCACCGTAAAGTCATAAGCCATAAAAATTCCTTAGATCTGAAATTACATTTATTTAAAATTTCAGATTTTTTGCTTTGGTATTATCTCTTTAAATAAATCGCACATGCTGAGATTTTTAATCGTTTCCCACTTTTTTCTCTTTGCAGTTACGTTCACCGAAAAAACAGAAGCTCAACGACTTGGAATGGCATGATGTCGCCGTTCAACGCTACGAAAATAATATCACATTACAAGTGGATGGCAACATTATTCGGAAGACACTGCCAGCGGATATGGGTGCACTGAATGTTCATTTTGGCACATCACTGGGTGGCCCAGGTGAATATTCACCTGACTACTTAAATGATTTGGCCAGCTTTAGAGGATGCATTTCGGATGTAAGTTAAAATAACTAATTGCCAAAAATAAGTTCAGAATATCAATTTCACCTAACGAGAGCAACCGTTTTCCCCATATAATCAAAGAAAACTAATTTTCACAAAAAGGAAGCTTTTAAGGATTCGACAGGGTTCAGGGTTTTTTTTTTTGAAATATCTCCGTTTCCAAGAAATGTTTTTTCAGTTACTGAGCATCAAAATATGCTCCAAAAACCTTGAGGGTTTTGATTGAAGAAGATATATCTAACATCTATTTTTTATAGCTTCCCTCATACAATGTACCAATTTTGGACCCAAAAAGCGTTTTATATGTCGATTAAGCAATGTCTGTCTGTCATCTGAGGAAATCACCCTAGAGTAGTTTGAACAAATTTTAATCAAATAAATTTTGAGTCCAAAGTATTTTTAATATTAGATATGGACCATATAGGTCCTCGTTTTCCTGCATCTCCAAACCACAGTATTTTTGTGCTTTTAAACATAGAAAATGTTAAAATGTGCGTAAGGTACCAGATATAGTCAACCGAAGCATTCCATTTTCGTACTCCATCTAATACGGGTAAAAAACATTGGTATGGACAAAATTACAAGAAAATCGGATATTTTATTTTATGCAAAATAATAAATTCCATATTCATCTAAGGTTTCTGGTTAAGAGAAATATTTAGATTTAGCCAGTTGTAAAGTATAATTGACTTGATTCACAAGTTATGACAGATTAAAGTATTGAAAATTGTGATCCTTTGTGGGTGACAGAAGGGGTTCGCAGATATATATATATACAATTTTCAAAACAGATTTTATGTTAGAGCAAAAATGTTTGTATGTGTGACATTTGAGGAGATTTTGATGTATATTTCGCTCTTATTTTTTAAAATATTAAACCCTATGTAGGGGAGGTACCAGAAGAAATGGTCCGATCTCTACCATCTTTATAACAGATCTTGAATTGACGGAAATATTTAGATGCGCCAAGTCGAATGAAGTCCGATGTCTCTGCAGTAATATACTATTTTGAAAATTTCGACCTTTTGTGCGGGAGGTATCAGAAGGAGTGGACCGATATTGAGCATCTCCGAAACCGATCAAAATTTGATAATAATATTACAAGTTTGGACCAAATAGGATAACCCCTTCTAGAGTTGTCGTGTGCACCAGCCAGACAGACAGACGGGCGGACATCGCTAGATTGACTCAAAATGTCCTGAAACGGATTTCGTCCAAAGATACCTAGGGTTTAAAAACCGTTATTTCGACTAGGCACGTTTTGGCCGTATCAAATGATGTATACTCTCTCTAGCCATATGGCTGAGCTAATATAACATATAAATCGAAGATATAGCTATATATATATAAACCGATGTTCATCAAATTTGTTTCCAGACTAAATGCCGTCGAATGTGCCTACATCCATTTTATTTTGGGAGCTGATATTAACCATTTGGTGCACAAAAAACGTGGAATCGAATGAAGATATATAAGAGAGCTATATCTTATAATGAACAGATCTCGATAAAACTTGGCAGAGGTATTTCTGAGATGTATCTGGTACAAAATATCATTAGAAATTCATACTAAAATGATATAAAAAGTACTAAAATATACTTAAAATTCAATACCTTGTGTTGAGTATTCCGCATGTTCAATACAAAGTATTACATTTTTAGTACATTTTTGTACTGTTCGTACCCGTTTAGCACGAATTACCAAAAACCCAGCAAGAACTGTGAAATATGGAATTGGAGTCTCTGATGGAGTCTAGGATATTTCTGAGATGTATCTGGTACAAAATATCATTGGAAATTCATACTAAAATGATATAAAAAGTACAAAAATGTACTTAAAATTCAATACCGTGTGTTGGGTATTCCGCATGTTCAATACAAAGTATTTCATTTTTAGTAAATTTTTGTACTTTTCGTACCCGTTTAGCACGAATTACCAAAAACCCAGCAAGAACTGTGAAATATGGAATTGGAGTCTCTGATGGAGTCTAGGATAGCCATCCCAAAGGGTTTTTCGAAATTCGAAATTTAAGGCTACTTCTAAAATCGTACCATTTGTTACTATTGAACGGATAGGGCTAAAAACTTCAAATTTGGTTTGGGAATCAAGTAAGTTTGATATACGAATGTTGTTTTGGAAATGTGTACTAAGTTTCCGAACTGTACTAAATGGTACTAAATTATACTATACTATATTTGGTACAATTTTGTATTGGGTGAACAGATAGTGATAGAAATTTGGTATTAGGGTCGCAGTTAATATGTAGCCTGGACACATGGATTCGAAAAAATGTATCATAATTGTACGGAAATGGCTGAATGGTACAATATTTGGAATTGGGTGAAGGGATAGAAATTAAATTTTGAAATTTAATGCATACATTACTGGTGGTATCTGTGTTTTAGATTTGACATTGGTTTGGAAATGCGTACAAAAAGTACTAAATAGTACAAATTTTAGTATTGGTAGGTCAGAAATCCTCAAAGTTGATATTTGATTTAAATGTCACTGTGGTTAGGATACGGAGGTGGTTTTGGAAATGTTGTCAATAATTGTACGAAAAGTACTAAATGGTCCTGAAATACTGAAATTTGATATCCTGAATATGATTATTGTTAGTGTCTGTGGTTTCGGAAATGTGTACTATAATTGTACGAGAAGTACGAATAGTACTATATTTGATATTGGGTGAAGGGAAAGAGATAAAATTCTGAAATTTGATATTTAGATTATTGATAGTATCTGTGCTTGAGATTTGGCGGTGGTTTTGAAACCCGACCTATATTTGTACGAAAAGTGATAAATGGTACTTAATTGGGTTTTGGTTGAAGGAATAGGCCTCAATACCTCAAATTTGATATTAAAGTCTTTGTTGGTATATGGAATTGAGATATGATACTGCATTTGGTATTGTGTTAAGGGATAAAAAATTCGAATATTTAGATAAGCGTTAGACATCTGTTGAGATTTGGCGAAAAGTGCTAAACAGTACTGAATTTGGATCACTGTTGATGTTTCGGATGGAGAGATGTTACTAAATTTGGTATTGAAAAAGAGTGGACCAATATATCCCATTTTTACACTGGATTTAACAAATTTGAAACCCTGTGGGAGATGTATCAGAAGGAGTGGACGAATAAATCATATATTCATATCAGATGTCATGTATTGGTAGAAATAAGTTTGAAAATAATTTGATGCTTATTTTGCTAAAATGTTTTTTATAAGATTTATAATTATTCAACATTTTGACCCGTTGTGGGGTGGTCCTCGTAGGAGCGGTCTGATCCATCCCATCTTCATACAAGACCTAGAGTTGGTAGAAATATTGGGATAACCAATCGGAGTCTTCTTTCTCTTCTTGTGAGGGATGTACTGGAAAGAGTGGACCAATATTGTCCATTTTTGCATTGCGGATTTTGTCGAAAAAAAGGACCGTTAATTCGAAGAAGCACGTTTTGGCCATATTAAATGATACATATTCCCTCTCTAGCCATATGGTTAAGGGTATATTTGGGCTTACATCATCAAAATATCGGAAAATGTCATTATATGGGGCCTATATGAAAACGTGAACCTATATAGTTTATTTCAATACCAATCTTCCTAGACACAATAAGCTATTATGCCGAATTTCAGAGCTATACGAAATGTTTCTAAGCCCACTTTTTCAACTCAAACTGAGGTTGAACTTTTTTCAAAAGAAAAAAATTCGACCTCAGTTCAACCTGAGGCGGAACTTTTTTTGATAGAAAAAAATCGACCTCAGTTTAACCTTAGGCGGAACTTTTTTCGATAGAAAAAAATTCGACCTCAGTTTAACCTGAGGCGGAACTTTTTTCGATAGAAAAAAATTCGACCTCAGTTTAACCTGAGGCTGAACTTTTTCGATAGAAAAAAAAATATTGTCCATTTTTGCATTGCGGATTTTGTCGAAAAAAAAGGACCGTTAATTCGAAGAAGCACTTTTTGGCCATATTAAATGGTACATATACCCTCTCTAGCCATATGGTTAAGGGTATATTTGGGCTTACATCGTCAAAATATCGGAAAATACCATTATATGGGGCCAATATGAAAACGTGAACCTATACAGTTCATTTCAATACCAATCTTCCTAGACACAATATAAGCTATTATGCCGAATTTCAGAGCTATACGAAATGTTTCTAAGCCCACTTTTTCAACAGAATTAAATTACTAATTCTTTTTTTAAAAGGCTTTAACATATGGACCCAATACCCCAAATGAGCGAGGATATTACAAATTCGGTTTGGCCGAACTTTACACTTCTTTTTGACGTCTACTCTTGATAAAGAAATATTTTTAAACTGTCCTGCAAAAAAAGCAAATTCAGTCATCCGATTTGTTTGAAAGCCATTTTATGATAGTTCTTAACATTAAAAACGTCTAAAAAGCTATTCCCGACCTTTTTTATTTTTTGCCCCATTACTATGCTTGGCCCACAATAATTATATTGATTTCATTAATTTCCTTTCAGGTCTTCTACAACAACATCAATGTAATCAAGCGGGCCAAGGAAGGTACCGGTCATACGGACAGTAAACAGGTGTCCTGGACTTGCAGCGCAGAGTTTAATGGAACAACCAAGGATGCCATCAGTTTCCTGAATACCGATTCATATGCTCTAATGGCCAAAGAGTCGCACCCGGCGGGGGAAACGTAAGATTTATTTATTTTTGTAGAAAAATTTCCAAAAATTAAAATATGTTCTTGCAGTGTTTCCTTGAAATTCCGCACCATGGAAGAGACTGGAGTTATCTTTTACAACGGAGGCTTTGACTATGTCCTGGTGGAAATTGAAAATAAAATGTTGATTTTTACATTTCACAAGGAGGGCAGCCAAGTGAGATTGGCCTCCAATGATACAGTGGCGGATGGTAAATGGCATAAGCTACAGATGCGTTACAATGCCGAGATGGCTGAGATGACACTGGACGACATTACGTATCGTGGTCAACATGACAATGACACCAAGGCTACAATAAGTTTGGAGAAGAGTTTCTTTGTCGGCGGCGTTCAGGAGGAGTTGAGACGACGCCTCTGGCATAAGGGTTTGAGAATTAATGATAACAGTTTCATGGGTTGTATGAAGGATGTTCACATCAATGGCAAGGATTTGGGTTTTCCACACATCAATAAGTCGCAACATTTGGATTTGAATTGTGTCTGGAAGTATCCTTGTGTGGAACATGAACCCTGCCTCAAGAGTGGGTACTGTAATCAGTATGGGGTGGATGAGTTCATATGCTATTGTGATCAGTCATATTGCATTAAAGCGGATTTTCAGGGGCCCTATAAGGTAGGGAGGTTATACCCAATATATATTTATATTTCCCGATTTTTAAATTACTTTTATTTCGCAGATCTTTACCGAAACCAGTCCCACCCTGGAACTGCTCTATGTCTCGCCCATGCAGCTGCTGGAGGGCGGCACCGTTTTCCTTTCACCAAATTTCTTGGATATCCTTTTGGATTATCGCAAAACTCCTGGCATTTCAGACTCTTCCATTGTCTTTCATGTGGTGCAACAGCCCCGTTATGGCCAATTACTGCAATTCTCCCAGGAGAAAAACAATTTCGTCATATGTCGCACCTTCAATATGGTGGACCTGTCCACGGACAAGGTGAAATATGTTCACAATGGGGTGGAAAATTTCAATGATCATGCCATGTTGGATATGCAAATTTATGGCGACATACACAAGGTGCCGGAAAATATTTTGGGAAAACATCGTTTTATGCTGCATGCCAACATCACACCCATCAATGATCCTCCCCAGCTACAAATACCCTCCAATAAGATACTACGAGTTATTGAAGGCATCGAAAAGAATTTGGATGTGGATCTCTTTAATATTCAAGATCCCGATAGTCCACCCAATGTGTTGATGTATTCCATTTTACCCTCCACGAATCCTCAAGAATCCTTTGGCCGCTTTATCATCAACAATCGTCCGACCATGACTTTTTCCCAGGCCGATGTTAACTCGGGGAAGGTAACATTTCTCTATAACACCACAACGGCGGAATCTTTCAGCTATCAACTGCTAATGCATGTCTCTGATGGCATTGAGACCAGTGACACGGTATTCCTGTCCGTTTCGGTGCATCCCCTGGAGTTGCGTTTGGTCAACAACACCGGTTTGATAATGATCCATAAGTCGTCGCTTTTGATAACACCTTCAAATCTATCGATCGGTACCAATGCTGCAGATGAAAATATTGATATTCGTTATGAAATTGTCAAGGCTCCCCAATATGGATCCATACAACGTCTGCGTCAAGTCGATGCCACCTGGGTTAATGTGGACTGGTTCAGCGATAGTCAGCTACAATTGGGTCACATACGTTATTTGCATAATTTGGAATTTCCCTGGCAAGATGAATTTAAGGTGAGAAAAGAAAAAGGAATTCTGTTCTATAGAAAAAAGTTCCACCTGACGCTTGACTGAGGTAGAATAATTTTCTATCAAAAAAAGTTCCACCTCAGGCTTGACTAGAGAAAAAAACCCACCTCAGGTTTTGACTGAAGTCGAAAATCTTACCTCAATTCATGAGGCTACTTTTTCTATAGAAAAAATCCTCAGTTGCTGAGGCCCTTTTTTCTATAAAAAAAATCCAACTTCAGTTGTTGAGGTCCTTTTTTCACGTAGAAAAATCCGACCTCAGTTGCTGAGGTACTTTTTTCGCATAGAAAAAATCCGACCTCAGTTGCTTAGGTCCTTTTTCGCATTGAAAAAAAAAAATCCGACCTCAGTTCGTGAGGATATTTTTATTCTATAGAAAAAAATTCGACCTCAGTTCGTGAAGCTATTTTTTTCTATGGAAAAAAATTCGACCTCAGTTCTTGAGGCTATTTTTTTCTATGGAAAAAAATTCGACCTCAGTTCGTGAGGCTATTTTTTCTATGGAAAAAAATTCGACCTCAGTTCGTGAGGCTATTTTTTCTATGGAAAAAAATTCGACCTCAGTTCGCGAGGCTATTTTTTTCTATGGAAAAAAATTCGACCTCAGTTCGTGAGGCTATTTTTTTCTATGGAAAAAAATTCGACCTCAGTTCGTGAGGCTATTTTTTTCTATGGAAAAAAATTCGACCTCAGTTCGTGAGGCTATTTTTTTCTATGGAAAAAAATTCGACCTCAGTTCGTGAGGCTATTTTTTTTTCTATAGAAAAAAATTCGACCTCAGTTCGTGAGGCTATTTTTTTTCTATAGAAAAAAATTCGACCTCAGTTCATGAGGCTATTTTTTTTTCTATAGAAAAAAATTCGACCTCAGTTCGTGAGGCTATTTTTTTTCTATAGAAAAAAATTCGACCTCAGTTCGTGAGCTATTTTTTTCTATGGAAAAAAATTCGACCTCAGTTCTTGAGGCTATTTTTTTCTATGGAAAAACATTCGACCTCAGTTCGTGAGGCTATTTTTTCTATGGAAAAAAATTCGACCTCAGTTCGTGAGGCTATTTTTTTCTATGGAAAAACATTCGACCTCAGTTCGTGAGGCTATTTTTTTCTATGGAAAAAAATTCGACCTCAGTTCGTGAGGCTATTTTTTTCTTTGGAAAAAAATTCGACCTCAGTTCGTGAGACTATTTTTTTCTATGGAAAAAAATTCGACCTCAGTTCGTGAGGCTATTTTTTTCTATGGAAAAAAATTCGACCTCAGTTCGTGAGGCAATTTTTTTTCTATAGAAAAAAAATCGACCTCAGTTCGTGAGGCTATTTTTTTTCTATAGAAAAAAATTCGACCTCAGTTCGTGAGGCTATTTTTTTTCTATAGAAAAAAATTCGACCTCAGTTCGTGAGGCTATTTTTTTTCTATAGAAAAAAATTCGACCTCAGTTCGTGAGGCTATTTTTTTTCTATAGAAAAAAATTCGACCTCAGTTCGTGAGGCTATTTTTTTTTCTATAGAAAAAAATTCGACCTCAGTTCGTGAGGCTATTTTTTTCTATAGAAAAAAATTCGACCTCAGTTCGTGAGGCTATTTTTTTGTTCTATAGAAAAAAATTCGACCTCAGTTCGTGAGGCTATTTTTTTTCTATAGAAAAAAATTCGACCTCAGTTCGTGAGGCTATTTTTTTTCTATAGAAAAAAATTCGACCTCAGTTCGTGAGGCTATTTTTTTTCTATAGAAAAAAATTCGACCTCAGTTCGTGAGGCTATTTTTTTGTTCTATAGAAAAAAAATCGACCTCAGTTCGTGAGGCTATTTTTTTTCTATAGAAAAAAATTCGACCTCAGTTCGTGAGGCTATTTTTTTTCTATAGAAAAAAATTCGACCTCAGTTCGTGAGGCTATTTTTTTGTTCTATAGAAAAAAATTCGACCTCAGTTCGTGAGGCTATTTTTTTGTTCTATAGAAAAAAATTCGACCTCAGTTCGTGAGGCTATTTTTTTGTTCTATAGAAAAAAATTCGACCTCAGTTCGTGAGGCTATTTTTTTTCTATAGAAAAAAATTCGACCTCAGTTCGTGAGGCTATTTTTTTTCTATAGAAAAAAATTCGACCTCAGTTCGTGAGGCTATTTTTTTGTTCTATAGAAAAAAATTCGACCTCAGTTCGTGAGGCTATTTTTTTTCTATAGAAAAAAATTCGACCTCAGTTCGTGAGGCTATTTTTTTTCTATAGAAAAAAATTCGACCTCAGTTCGTGAGGCTATTTTTTTTCTATAGAAAAAAATTCGACCTCAGTTCGTGAGGCTATTTTTTTGTTCTATAGAAAAAAAATCGACCTCAGTTCGTGAGGCTATTTTTTTTCTATAGAAAAAAATTCGACCTCAGTTCGTGAGGCTGTTTTTTTTCTATAGAAAAAAATTCGACCTCAGTTCGTGAGGCTATTTTTTTGTTCTATAGAAAAAAATTCGACCTCAGTTCGTGAGGCTATTTTTTTTCTATAGAAAAAAATTCGACCTCAGTTCGTGAGGCTATTTTTTTTCTGTAGAAAAAAATTCGACCTCAGTTCGTGAGGCTATTTTTTTTCTATAGAAAAAAATTCGACCTCAGTTCGTGAGGCTATTTTTTTTCTATAGAAAAAAATTCGACCTCAGTTCGTGAGGCTATTTTTTTGTTCTATAGAAAAAAATTCGACCTCAGTTCGTGAGGCTATTTTTTTTCTATAGAAAAAAATTCGACCTCAGTTCGTGAGGCTATTTTTTTCTATGGAAAAAAATTCGACCTCAGTTCTTGAGGCTATTTTTTTCTATGGAAAAACATTCGACCTCAGTTCGTGAGGCTATTTTTTTCTATGGAAAAAAATTCGACCTCAGTTCGTGAGGCTATTTTTTTCTATGGAAAAAAATTCGACCTCAGTTCGTGAGGCTATTTTTTTCTATGGAAAAAAATTCGACCTCAGTTCGTGAGGCTATTTTTTTCTATGGAAAAAAATTCGATCTCAGTTCGTGAGGCTATTTTCCATTTTTCCATAGAAAAAATTCGACCGCAGTTTAACCTGAGGTGGAACTTTTTTCCATAGAAAAAAATTCGATCTCAGTTTAACCTGAGGTGGAACCTTCTTCTATAGAAAAAAATCTGAATACTAAATTAATATCTCCTTCCCTTCTTCCAGTTTTTTGCCTCCTTTGGTTTTGTGACTACCCAAACATTTGATTTCCGTGTAACCTTTACCCGTTTGCGCATCAATTCCCGAAAACCCTCAACGATTGCCGTAAATGGTTCCAGAGAATTTATTTTGACCAATGAAGTGTTGTCCTATGAAACGGTGCCCATTGAGACTTTTCCTCGAAATATTATCTATAAAATAACCAGTCCCACTAAATATGGCAATATTTATGTGGAGGGCTCGAGGAAGTTTGCCAAGGTGAGAACTCTAAGAAAATTATCCACAATTCATAAATCAAACCAATATTTCCTCTCAACTCTTTCCCCTAGGAAATGGATTCATTTACCCAATTGGACATCGATAAGAATCGCATACGCTACAAGACGCATCATTCGTCGTATTCCAGTTTTCGTGACTATTTGGAATTTGTGGTCTCGGTGGCAGAATGTGATGATGTTGTGGGCAAGGTTGCCATATCGTTTACACCACGCGATGATCTTGTCAATAAGCTTGTCTATCAGACGCGAGAGATACTCAAGGTCCAGGAGGGAGAAAGGGCCTTGATAACAAAAAATCATTTTGAAATTCGTTTCAATATCTACGAAAGTCTGAGATTTGTTGTGACGCATAAACCGAAATTTGGCAGTTTGTGTCGCTACGATGAGCATGATCGTAAAGTCACATTTGTCAGTGAGTTCAGCTTGGAACAGCTGTTTCTCAATGAAATCTATTACTGTCACGATGACAGTGAATCGACGGAGGACTCTTTCGATTTACTTCTGTTGTCCAGTGAGGAGACTGATTTGCAATTTGTCTCCCGAATCGATGTGAGAATTAGCCTCAATAATGATAATGCTCCCTATAGGACTTTGGATAGGATATTCCATGTCATGCGTGGTGGCATACGAACCTTGAATACCGATGTCCTGCAGTACTTGGATGCCGATGTGGATACAAATTCCTCAAATATCCATTACCTCCACATATCCTGCAACAATGGAGCTTTTTACAAATCCGGACACTATGTGGACAGTTTTACCCAGGATGACATAGCCAATAGGCGCATAATGTTCCAGCACACGGGGGCAGATGTGGGCACGGCATCATTCATTGTCAGCGATCAGATGCATAATGTCGATGGGCTGCTGGAAATTCATGCCTCCGACGCATTTGTGTCCATGCTACCGCCAAATGCCACCATTGTGCAGGAGGGTAAATTTGTCATCCTTCGCAATAAGGATTTTGTTTTGGAAACCAATTTAGATATGAAATTGGATGAAATCTATTATGAGGTAATCAAACCACCAACCTATGGTATACTCATGTATTTGGGTCGCCCACGGGCGAATGATGATGCCTATGGCTCGTCGTCGTCGTCTCATTATAAGTCATCGAATTTAACTTCGTTGAGTAATTTTACGCATTTGGATATAGAACGGGATAGGTTGGTTTATTGGAACACTGAAATTGCTTCCATGGATAAGTTGAGGTGAGTTGGGAACTCTAGTTTTGTTGTTGGATTAACATATTAACGAGATTTCTTTTATTTGCAGATACCGTGTCCACATCAAAAACATCAGTGCCGAAGGTGAGGTTATATTCCGCATATATCCATCGGCCTATTGGGAGCCACTGCAGGTGAAGAAGAACCAAACACTGTATGTTGAAGAATCGACAAGTGTTTTGATTTCCCGGGATGTCTTAGAGGTAAGAAAACCCAAATACCATTAGCTACCTTGAATAAGGCTTCTACCTATAACTATATTTTATAAAGAAGTCTATTAAAAGCCTTAGTGATATACAGGGCCTCTGGAAGTCTTGTGTTCATAGAAAATCATGTAGAATGCCTTGGGAAGGTATCCACTGTTTAGGAGTTCTCTGGAAGGCCTTCTCTATATAGAAGACCTATAGAAGATTTTCTCTGTATGGAAGACCTCTAGAAGATCTTCTCTGTATCGAAAACCTTTAGAAGTCATTCTCTGTGTAGAAGACCCGTAGAAAGTCTTCCCAGTGTAGAAGACCCACAGAATGTATATCTTAAAGTATCTCCCTTATTTCCATCCTCAACTCTCCTTTGTCAAGAGTAGTCGTAGATAGCCTCCTATGTATGGAAGACCTTTTGAAGTTTTTATTTTTCAAAGACCCACATAAAATCTTCAGATCTCCTTTGTTTGGAGGACCTCAAGAAATTGTCTATATTTTGAAGGCCTTTAGGAGGTTTTTTATGGGTAGGAGACCAGTAGAAAATCTGCCCTAGATCTAGAAAATTCTACACATTTCCCTTGTCAGAAAAACATTCAGAAGGCTTTGTCTCTATAGAAGAGCTCTGGAGAGTCCTTTCTGTTTAGAAGACCTCTAAAAGGTCTCCTCTGTGTACAATACCAGTAGAATTTCCTATTTAGAAGATCTATATATGTTCTTATAGTTCTAGAGGTCATCAACATATTTCTCTTGCAAGAGAGTATTATAAGGCCTCCTACGTATAGAAGTCCTCTCAAAGGTTTTCTATTTAAAAATACACCTAAAAATTTTAATCTTAGAAAAACATCTGCCCCAGTTTCTGGAGAGGATTTTTCTATGCAAAAACTTCCGACCCCAGTTTCTGTAGAGGTTTTTTTCTATAGAAAAAAAATCCGAACACCCGTCTCTGGGGAAGTTTTTTTTTACATAGAATAAAATCCGAACCCCATTTCCTAGAGACTTTTTCTCTATAAAAAATCGGGAAAAAATTAGACCGCAGTTCCTGAAGACTCATTCTTTATAGAAAAAACGAGACCCAGATCCTGAGGACCACTTCTTAGTAGAAATAATCCCACCCCTTTGTCCAGGATCTTTTCTCTAAGTCCCCCGATAAAAAATAAGTCCCCCGATTCCGATGACTTTTTCCTAATAGAAAAAAACCAGTCCTCAGTTTCGGGACATTTTCTCTATAAAAAATAAGGAAAAACTTAGAACTTCAGTTCTCGGCTACTTAGAAAAAATCAGACCCCATAGGAGAAATCAGACTCCAGTTCCTGGAGACTAGATACGATTCCCGGGGACTTTAAGCTAAAGAAAAAATCGGACCTCTGGTCTACACAAAATAATTAGAACCCATTTTTAGAATTTTTTTCATAGAAATCTTATTCCTCAAAAATCATTCATTGAGTTCGTATTTTTTTCCTATAGAAAAAATACCTCATACACAGTTTTTTCTATAGAAAGAGAATCCTCCGAAACAGAGGTAGATTTTTTTAAGAACAAAATATCTTAAAATATTGTATATTCAAATATGTTTCTTTCCTTTTCAGGTCGTTCATCCGAACATATCGCCTGGTGATATAACCTTCCTGGTCACAGCCTCGCCTTTGCATGGCTATTTAGAAATGCAATCGATGTCCTTCGATGATGAATACAATTGCAAGGTGTTCGATCAGTCCGCAATAAATACAGAGAAAATGTTCTACATTCAGGCGGGTGTTAATCAATCAAGTGATTATTTTATATTTGATGTGACCAATGGCATCACTTGGTTACGGAATCTAATGTTACGAATTGTAATTATACCGGAGAAGTTGTATATGCACACCAACACCATATCGGTGGTGGAGGGTAAAACATTACAGCTCACCTCTGCTGATATTCAACCATTTTCGGAATATTATCGTGGCAAGATATTGGAATATATTATTATCACTAGCCCTTCGGCAGGGTATATTATGGCTTCGAATTCCAAGGTTAAGAGATTTACGCAGAAACAATTGGACCAGGGTGCCATTCAGTATATCCATAATGGTAGTGAGAATTCGACGGATACCATGACATTGATTGCTACGGCCAGGAATAAGGAGAGTGTGTCCTTTGATTTGGAATTCTCGGTGGTGCCGGTGAATGATGAGCAGCCCGTGGTAGTGACCAACACGGGGTTGCAGGTTTGGAATGGCGGACGTTATATTATACGCTATACGGATTTGAGTGAGTACAAAATCCTTTAGAAGAAGCAAGGAATGAAAATTATATTGTCTTTCTCTTTTTTCTCTAGTGGCCCGTGATTATGACACCCCGCCGGAGAACATCACCTTTGTGGTGAATCATATTTATGGTGGCTATTTGGCCTTCAAAAGCGATCCGGAGTCAAAAATCGATAGCTTTACCCAGAATGACATTAACAATGAGCAGGTCTATTTTATTCATGACTCAAATTCTCGACGCAATGAAATGTCTTTTATGGTCACCGATGGCCTTTTCAATACCACGGAACAAGTTCTAAACATAGCCATAAAACCCATTGAAATTATAGAGGAGCGCAATGAAAATCTCCATGTCTTCCCGTTGACAAAGAAACAAATTCTCCGGGATCATCTGCACTTCCGATGTTCGGATGAAGAGAGGGAGATACGTTACAACATAACTGTGCCTCCGAATCTAGGACGCATCATCAATGAATATCAAATAATGGATAATGGCCAACCGAAAGAGGTGAACGAATTCACCCAGGATGACATCGATAATGGTCATATCTTCTATGAACACACCGCCGTGGTCATTGAATTCCGAATAAATGATTCATTCAACTTTGATGTCATTGCCAAACGCAGTGATCGTCTGCTGGATCAGAAGTTTAATATTGAAATTTCTGTCTCATCTGGTGGTCTCTTGAGATTTTTGCCAGTTTCAAAGCTGAATGTTGATGAGGGCGGTTCGGTGCCAATAAATTTGGATTTTTCAAAAATGTTGGAATATCTCAAAACGCGTGCGGGTATTAATAATCCGGAATTGTTTATTGAATCGGTGCAGAGGCCCAGCCATGGTACCATTGGTCTGGGTCATGAATTCCGGCCAACACAGAAATTCCATCCCAGCGATTTCTTTACGAAAAAGGTTTACTACATTCATGATCACACCGATACGCTGGAGGATACCATATTGATGTCGGTGTATTTGGAACAGGGGTAAGTAAGAATTCTACGTAAATTTTATAATCTCTACATAAAAAAAAATCCCTCATCAACGTCCAGAGGAAGTGGAATTTGGCAAGTAGATGCAGGATGTATGTAGTTAGTAATTTTTTTTGGAAATTCGTACTGAAGACTACAAAAAATTTTGGAAAAATAAAAATGGTTTTAGACATGTGTACTAAGTGTGCAAACTGTACTAAATGGTACTGAATTTGGACCAGTTCAGTTTCCGGTGAACGAACGATGCTGGAATTTTGAAATTTTTATTGCGGTCCGTGGTAGGTTTGTGATAAAGAGATGTTTTTTAAATGTGTCCCATGCTGGTACAAAAAGTACTAAATAGTACTATATTTACTACAATTAGGTATAGGGTCAACAGATTGTGCTTGAAATCTGAAAATTGGTGTTAGGGTCTCTCTTCATGTGTATTCTGGATATAAGGAGGTGTTTTCGGAAATGTGTACTATAATTGTACAAAAAGGACTGAAAGGTGCTATATTTAGTATTGGGTGATGGGATAAGGCTAAAATTCTGAAATATCATAATGAGGCCTCTTCTGGTATCTGAAATTGAGATATGGAGGTGGTATCTGAACTGTGTACTATAATTGCACTTAAAGTACCAAATAGTATTGAATTTTGTATTAGGTGAGACGATATGTCTGGAACCCTTAAACTTGATGTAGATGTTACTGTTGGCGCCAGTTGTTGAGATATGGAGGTGGTTTTGGAAATGTGTATTATAATTGTACGAAAAGTATTGAATGGTACTATATTTGGTATTGAGTGATAGGATAGAGATAAAATTCTGAAAATTGATATTTAGATTACTGATGGTATCTGTATTTGGGATTTGGCGTGGGTTTGGAAATGCCTGCTCAATTTTTACGAAAAGTACGAAATGGTAAAAAATTTGGCATTTGGTGAAGGGTTAGAATTGGAATCCTGAAATTTGACATTGAGGTCTCTGTTGGTATCTGGAATTAAGTGAAGGAGGTAGTTTTGGAAATGTGTCCTTTCATTGTGCGAAAAGAACTAAATTGTGCTAAATTTGGTAATAGGTGAAGGAATAGAGCTGAAATCCTGAAATTTGATATGGAAGTCTTTGTTGGTGGCTGTTGTTTAGAGAAGGAGCTAGTTTTAGATTGTGTACTACAATGGTACTGAATGGTACTAAATTTGCTATTGGGTGAAGGGTTAAGGCTGGATTCCTCAAATTTAATATTGAGGTTGGTATCTGGAATTGATATATAGAGGTGATTTCTTAAAGAGCACTTTGATTGTACGAAAAATGCTAAATAGTACTAAATTTGGTACTAGGTATATGTAAAGAGCCGAAATTCTAAAATTTTATATAAAAGTCACTGTTGGTATCTGTGGTTAAGATTTGGAGGTGGTTTTTGAAATGTGTACTTTAACTGTTTGAAGAGTACTAAATGGTTCTAAATATGATATTGGGTGAATGGTTTCGGTTGGAATCCCGAAATATGATATTAGGGTCTCTGTAGTTATCTGGATGTCCGAAAAGTACTAAACAGTACTAAATCTTTTTACTGGGTATAGGGATAAAGCTGCAATCCTGAAATTTGACACTGAGGTTTGTATGTGGGATTGAGATATGTTTGTTTGGAAATGTGTACTATAATTGTACGAATATTACTAAGTAGTAATAAATTTGCTGTTGCGTGAAGGGATAGGGCTGGAATCCCGAAAACTTACATTAAGATCTCTCTCTATCTCTCACTCTCTCGATCTATCTTTCTCTCTCTCTGTTGGTATCTGGTATTGAGCTCTGGTGGTGGTTTTACAAATACGTACTCTAATTTTTTGTAAAGTACTAAATAGTACTAAATTTGGTTTTGGGTGAAAGAACAGAATATGTCCTATATTTGTACGAAAAGTACTAAATAACACTAAATTTGGTATTGGTTGAAGGGATAGTGCTTGAATTCTCAAATTGGATATTGTTTTGAAGATATGTTTTAAAATTATGCGAAAAATACTTAGCGTTACTATGTGGGGTATTGGGTGACGAGATAGGGCTGGAATCCTCAATTGATGGACGAGACAGGGCTGAAATCCTCATTTGATATTAAGGTCATTGTTGGCATCTGAGATTGAGATATGGAGATTTTGGAAAATTTAGTACAACGTAAAAAGTTTGGTTCAAAAAAAAAAAATTGTTGTCAAATTGAACAATTTGTACATTTTGAGTACTAACAAGTAAAAAAGATGTAAGTTCGTCCGGGCCGAACTTTGAATACCCTCCACCATTCGGTACACATTTGGCAGTTTTCAAAAAAAATAAAATCCATTAAAAATTCTGTTAAAATATTAAAAATACCGAATGTAGCCTTATATTAGGGTCTGTACGACGACGTGGATCTGCATAGGCAACTTTTGTCACAAGCTATTACAATATTCAAATGCGAAACTTGAAAAAATCTGTTTATAATGTAGCTAAAATCATCAAAATTCCGAATGTAGGGAGGAACCATGGGAGTTGTAAAAAGTGGACTTGCACAGACAATTTTTTGTCATAGGCTGTAGTATCCATTACGAACTTCAAATACCGAATTTGAAACGATTCCGGTAAATAATGTCGCTAAAATCATCAGAATGCCGAATATCGGGAGGTACCGTTATATGGGGGCTATACGAAGAAGTGGACCTACGTGCCCCATTTTATGTTTTATGCTGTATTATCTATTGCGAACTTCAAATACCAAATTTGGAACGGTTCCGTTAAATAATGTCGCTAAAATCATCAAAATACCGAATATCGGGGGGTACCGTTATATGGGGGCTATACGAAGACGTGGACCTGCACAGATAATTTTCTGTCTTAGGCTGTAGTATCTATTACAAACTTCAAATGCCAAATTTGAAACAATTCCGGTGAATAATGTCGCTAAAATCATCAAAATACCGAATATCGAGAGGTACCGTTATATGGGGGCTATATGAAAACTTGGACCTACATGACCCATTTACGAACTTAACCTGCCTACTGGCAAAATATACATGTGTGCAAAATTTTAGCCTTCTATCTCAATTTGTTCGAAAGATAGCGTGATTACAACAGACAGACAGACAGACGGACAGACAGACAGACAGACACACAGACAGACAGACGGACATGGCTAAATCGTCTTAGAATTTTACGCTGATCAAAAATATATATACTTTGTTGGGTCTGACATGAGTATTTCGAGGAGTTACAAACGGAATGACAAAATTAATATACCCTCCATAGTATGGTGGAGGGCATAAAAAGTGGACTTGCACAGACAATTTTTTGTCATAGGCTGTAGTATCCATTACGAACTTCAAATGCGAAATTTTAAACAATTCCGGTAAATAATGTCGCTAAAATCATCAGAATACCGAATATCGGGGGTAAGGATATATGGGGGCTATACGAAGAAGTGGACCTACATGGACCATTTTCTGTTTTATGCTGTAGTGTCTATTACGAACTTCAAATACCAAATTTGGAGCAATTCCGGTAAATAATGTCGCTAAAATCATCAGAATACTGAATATCGGGGGCTATACGAAGACGTGGACCTACATGGCTCATTTTCAATACCAAAAGTCATGCAGACATAATACACATTTGGGTAAAATTTTATTAACCTACTTCACTTCGTTCAGAAGCTAGAGTGATTTCCACAGACGGATAGACCTACACACGGACGGACATTGATAAATCGACCTAGAATCTTATGCTGATCAAGAATATATATACTTTGTGGGGTCTAAAATGTTGTTACAAACGGAAAGACAAACTTAATATACCCTCCATACTATGGTGGAGGGTATAAAAAGGCCTAATACGAACTGTTGGAATGAATCTAAAATTTTAAGGTGGACTTTTCGCTGACGAAGTTGCGGGCATTTACTGCTTTCGTACACTCAATATTAGAATTTTCTTTAACACCTCTGGTACATCTATGCTACACTTCAACAGTGACATTTTATTCCAAATTTCGTAATATTAGCTCAATTGCAATAGAACCAAATTTCGTACCTGTTAGTATTTCTCGAATCCTTCAAGCTTCAGTTGTTTCGCCTGGACGTCGATAAAACCCTCAATCAATCACTCAACTCTCTTATTTATATACATCCCTCTTCTCTTGAGCTACAATAATTTGCATTTTCTCTCTCCCTCTCTTTTAGGCACATCTTTCTCTGCAATCTCACCGTTCCCGTTTCGATTAATCCCATCAACGATCAACCCTTTAACCTGATTACACATCAGCCACACATGACAGTGGTGGAGGGAGAGAATCGCACAATAACCCGCAACATTTTGCTAACCGAAGATAAGGACACCCCTCCGGAGGATATTGTCTATGACATTATGAGTGGTCCAACATTGGGGGTGCTGAAGAAAATCTCCAAAGAAGGTGTTGCCGAAGAATTGCTGGCCTATTCAAATCAATTTACCCAAGCTGATATTAACAATGATCGCATCGTTTATATACACTTTGGCACCCCGCAATCGACGACATTTTGTTTTACGGTGTCGGATGGTAAATTCCATCCAGCTTATGAGGTATTTACCATAAAAATCGCTCCCATTGCCATAATGCCGACGGCAACACAATATCCGGTTACGGTGCAACAGGGCTCCACAACGGCTGTCATGAAAATGGAAAATATTGGCATTAAAACCAATGCCCAGGTCCAGAGGTTATCCTATAATATTACCAATTCTCCGCTCTATGGCATAATTGTGCTCAAGCATCAGCCTACGCTGAGATTTAATCATCAACTTTTGGAAATGGGTCAAATTAATTATATGCAAACCGATTTGAATCGTTCGAATGATACCTTCCAGGTTAGTGCCTATGTTCCGGGTACAAATTATGTGGCCACAGCGGATGTTTTGGTTCAAGTCGAACCGGTTATCAAAATTACCGATATTCCCATGCAGGGGGTACAGGCGGGAGAGAAAATACGTTTGATGTCGCTGCTGGTCCCGGATAATCCGCTGTCGTTGAAATTGAATAAATTTAATCCGAAATTTTTAATAACCCGTCTACCCACAACTGGGCAGATACGTAAGATTATTCGGAGTTCGGGTTTGTCGTCTGATGCCCAAAATGAACGTCCCACCAGCTCGTTTTCATTTAAGGAACTACGTAGCGGGGTGGTGTATTTTATACCCCATGAATCGGCGGCAAATACCCGGGCAGATAATGACAGTTTTGATTATCAGCTGCATATCAAAACGGTGCAACCAGCCCAGGCCTCGGTGAAGATAATCTATCGCAAAGCGGCTGATGAGACGGCCACGGATGTTACCAAGGCCTCGACAGGGTTCTCTTTAAATTATGTGGCCATCATATGTGCGGTGCTGATTTTGTTGATGCTGGTGCTGATCATAATGTTGGTTCTGAAGTTCCGTTACCTAAAGAAACATAAAGCCAATATATCGAAGGATCAACCCCCTTCCCTGCCTTGTCCACCTGACTTGACTTCGGTTAGTCCCCAGCATCATCACCATCATCCCCACCACAGTCATCATCCACATCATTATGCCAGTTCGGAGGCAGATTCAGTGCCGGTGACTGGCAATTCAACACCCCTACCCGGGTTCAGTAATATACCCCACTGTAAAATTATACCCGTGGAATCGTATAAACACGATTTTCCCGACTACGATCCCGATGAAGATGAAACCGATGACCAATGTGATCCCCAGCAAATGATGTTGCCACAACGTTACAATCCCTATCAATTGGAAAATGACACCTGGAGTTCGTCGTGTGATATGGCCAATGATTTTGCGGGATATTCAAGTGTGCCACAGAGTAGTGGGCAGGCTGCCTCTGCCTCGACGCCGCCCTCAGCGCCGCCAAGTAATCCATTGCTAAGGCGTAATCAGTATTGGGTCTGAAAAAAAATCCCATTTGCCCAAAAAAATGGGGTGGGAATAGTTGTAATTATTTTTAATATTTTTATATAAGAACAAGAAACGAACTTAACAAAATATGAAAAAAACGACACAAGTGCTTTAAAAGTGCCTTTAATAACTTAATATTTTTATGAACTATTTTTTTTTACAAAAAAATATAAACTTGCCAACAAAACCCCAGTTCCATGCCAAAAAAAAAAGGAAAAGAAAATCGCTGGACCAAAATTGTTTTTAAAATAATGCCATTACCTTCATTTTGCTATACCCTAAAATATTTAGTCCTAGAAAATTGTGCATAACTTAGTTGTAGGTTAGTTTTAAGAAATACGCATTTTTAAGTTAGATTTTTAAGATTTAATGCCATTTCTTGTCGTTGCCATAATTAACTATTTTTTTTTAAATAATTACTTCATTGCCATACGATTTTCATACATTTTTTAACAGTGGCCATAGCGTTTGTATTTAAATAAGAAATAATTTAATTTTATACAGTTCAGACATATCGCAATTTATAAGTTAAGATTTTACATTCTTTACTCATAGTTTCGTTAAGTTCAGATTGACTTACCAAGATTCGAATAATTTATTAATAAATGACAATAACTTATCGATTATTTAAAATGGATGTGCTTTTCTTTGATTCGCCTTTAGATTTTTGTAAACACTGGAACGACTAACGCCTTACTCTGTCTAGAATTGTCGGCTCAGGGATATGGATAGGCATTCTAAAGTAATTTATCTAGTTCCTTTGTTAATTTTTTTGAGAATTCAGAGAATACGATTTATGTAGTGGTATTAGGTTTGATGGTATCGAGCTACCTCATCCAACAGTGTTTGGTTTGATATCACGCTTCGTATCAGACAGTCACTAGCAAGTGCCCGCTTCATCGTAAGCGAAAAGTCCAATTTAACCAGTTAAAAAATATCATTCGGTTTTGCCGACACATGTATACCTTCAGCCAATGCTCGATGATTTAAATATATTTTGTTATGATTATTCAAATTGTTGGCCCTCTATTGAGCCTGTTCCGAAGGAATGGGCCAATATTGTCCATTTCGTACCGGACCTAAATAAATAAAATATAAGTATTGCGACGTGCCAGGTTTGGACTATACCGCCTACAAATAAAAATATTGGTGGGGGCAAAATTACAAGAAAATCGAACATTTATAGCCAATTCTATGCGAAATCATAAATTCCATATTCATGTCAGGTTTCTAGTTGAGAGAAATACTTAGATGTAGCAAGTTGTAAAGATTGGCTGAATTGTTTCGCAAGTTATGACAGATAAATGTATTGAAAATTGCGACCCTTTGTGGGTGAGGTACAGGAAGAGGCTCACAGATATATATCATCTTCACAACAGATCTTTTGTTAGCAAAAATGTTTGTATGTGTGAAATTTGAGAGAGTTGGATGCTTATTAGGTTTTCTTTGAAAGTTTTTTTTTTTTTTTTTTTTTTCAAATTTTAATCGTATGTGGCGGAGGCCTCACGGAACTTGTGTTGATGGAAATGTTGAGATGTACCAAGTCTGAATGGAATCGGAAGTTAATTTCGCGCTTTATAACAGATCTTGTGTTGATGGAAATGTTGAGACGTACCAAGTGTAAATGGAATCGGAAGTTAATTTCGCGTTTTATGAGCTTCATGGATATACAAAATGTTGACCCTTTGTGGGAGAGGTAGCAGAAGGAGTGCACCGATATATTCCATCTTCATGGCGGAACTTGTGATAGTAGAAAAATGGGATGTGAGAAACACAAAATTAACCGGATGCTAATTTCGGATTTTATTACAGATGTTACGTTGATAGAAATATTGAGATTCGACATGTCTGTATAGAATCGGATATCATTTTCGCGTTTAATTATATGAGCTTCTTCATTATTATTATTATTATTATTATTATTATTATTATTATTATTATTATTATTATTATTATTATTATTATTATTATTATTATTATTATTATTATTATTATTATTATTATTATTATTATTATTATTATTATTATTATTATTATTATTATTATTATTATTATTATTATTATTATTATTATTATTATTATTATTATTATTATTATTATTATTATTATTATTATTATTATTATTATTATTATTATTATTATTATTATTATTATTATTATTATTATTATTATTATTATTATTATTATTATTATTATTATTATTATTATTATTATTATTATTATTATTATTATTATTATTATTATTATTATTATTATTATTATTATTATTATTTTATTATTATTATTATTATTATTATTATTATTATTATTATTATTATTATTATTATTATTATTATTATTATTATTATTATATTATTATTATTATTATTATTATTATTATATTATTATTATTATTATTATTATTATTATTATATTATTATTATTATTATTATATTATTATTATTATTATTATTATTATTATTATTATTATTATTATTATTATTATTATTATTATTATTATTATTATTATATTATTATTATTATTATTATTATTATTATTATTATTATTATTATTATTATTATTATTATTATTATTATTATTATTATTATTATTATTATTATTATTATTATTATTATTATTATTATTATTATTATTATTATTATTATTATTATTATTATTATTATTATTATTATTATTATTATTATTATTATTATTATTATTATTATTATTATTATTATTATTTTATTATTATTATTATTATTATTATTATTATTATTATTATTATATTATTATTATTATTATTATTATTATTATTATTATTATTATTATTATTATTATTATTATTATTATTATTATTATTATTATTATTATTATTATTATTATTATTATTATTATTATTATTATTATTATTATTATTATTATTATTATTATTATATTATTATTATTATTATTATTATTATTATTATTATTATTATTATTATTATTAATATTATTATTATTATTATTATTATTATTATTATTATTATTATTATTGTTTTATATTATTATTATTATATTATTATTATTATTATTATTATTATTATTATTATTATTATATTATTATTATTATTATTATTATTATTATTATTATTATTATTGTGTTTATTATTATTATTATTATTATTATTATTATTATTATTATTATTTTGAAAATATCGACTTTTTGTGGGGAGGTACCAGAAGGAGTGAACCGATATTGCCCATCATCGCACCAGCACCTGGAAATCCTGGAACGGATTTGGTCCAATGAGATCTGGGATCTACAACTGTTATCTCGATGAGGCACGTTTTGGCCGTATCAAATAATATACCCTTTCTAGTTATATGACTGAGAATATATAAAAAAAAAACAAAAAAAACACTCTTGTAGAAATAAATGCATTTCAGAAACATGTCTGAAACACCAAAATTTAAAAATCACCCTCAGAATTATTTCATAGTAGAAAGAATTATTTCATAAATAAAGTCGGAGAAAAGTCCACCTCACAATTTTAGTTCGTGGTAAGCCTCAAGACTCATAATTTGTTCAGTTTAACAAAATATTTTAATCAAAATATCACTTATCGTACTAAATTTTCAGACTGTAAAGATTTTGTATAATATTCAAGTTTGTATTTCTTCAAAAAGAATAATAGGAAAATGTATACTTTTTACACCAAAAAATCTTCAAAATCTTTCTTTTTGAACTTTACCGGGGAGGATATTAGTAAAACCATTGCGCAATGGACTCACATCCAATTATTCTGTTCAAAACTATCTTAACGTTTCCATATGTAAACCCTAGAAGAAAATGTTGACATCAATATCAAATTTCATCTCCATCTCTTCCCCCAATACCAAATAATGATACCAACAGAAACCTCAATATCAAAATTCAGCTCTATCCCTATACCCAATTTAGTGCTATTTACTTCTATTCGTAGAATTATAAAACACATTTCCACCTCCATATCCAAATTCCGGATACCAACAGAGACCTCAATATCAAAAATGAGGATTCCCGCCCAGCAAATTTAGTACCATTTAGTACTTTTCGAAGAAATATGGGACATATTTTGAAATCATCGCCACATCTGAATCCAAGATACCAACGGAAATCTCAATATCAACTCTATTCACTCACTCAATACCAAATTTGGTACCATATAGTGTTTTTTGAACAATTATAGTACATTTTTCCAAAACCACCACCAAATTTCAAACACAGGTACCATCATTATACTCAATATCAAATTTCAGAATGTCAGCTATTTAATTTCTCCCTTCGCCAAATTTAGTAACATTAGTACAATTATAGAACACACTTTCAAAACCACCTACATTGTCTTAACCACAGACCCCAACATCTAAATCACATTGCAGGATTTCAGCTCCATTCCTTCATCCAATACAAAATTTAATACTTTTAGTACAATTGTAGTACAAATTTTCAAAACCACCTCCATATCCCAATGCCGAATACCAACAGAGACCTCAATATCAAAATTGAGGATTCCAGCCCTATCAATTCACCCAATAGCAAATTTACAACCATTTAGTACATTTCGTAGAAATATAGGATGCATTTCTAAACGCCCGCCAAATCTCAAAGAGATACTATCAGTAATCTAAATATTAAATTTCAGTAATTTATCTCTATCCCTTCACCCAATATATAGTACTATTTAGTACTTTTCGTACAATTAAATTACACATTTCCGAAACCACCTCCAAAATATTTCAAGCACTGTTCACTAAATACCAAATCGTACCAAATACAGTACAACTTAGTACTTACTCGTGCACTTATAGTGCACATTTCCAAAACCACCTCTTTATCACAAATCTATCACCATCAGGGACACCAATATAAAAGTAAAAAATTCCAGATTAATCCGTTCACCTCGAAATATTCATTTTAGACCCCACATAGTATATATATTCTGTATCAGCAAACAATTTTATGTCGATTTACCCATGTTCGTCCGTCTTTCTGTCGGTTCGTCCGTCCGTGGAAATCACTCCAGCTTTCGAACAAAATGTAGTAGGTTCGATAAAATTTTACTCAGATGCGTGATTGGTTGACAGAAGTTTTGGTATTGAAAATGGGCCATATAAGTCCAGGTTTTGGTATAGCCCCCACATAACAGTACCAACAGATTTAGAGTTTTTTAGCTTCTTTAGTCATAAATTTGCTGCAAATCGTCAGCATATGTTCCCATTGTGTAAGAAACATCCTGTAGGACTTTTGGTGTTGAAAATGTTCCACATTTTCATATAGCCCCCATATAACGGTACCTCCCGATATTCGGCATTTTGATGATTTTAGCGACATTATTCACCGGATTTGTTTCAAATTTGGTATTTAATGCTCGTCTTTGTATAGCCCCCATATAACGGTGCCTCCCGATATACGTATTTTAATGATTTTAGCTACATTATATACCGATTTTTTTAAGTTTCGCATTTGAATATTGTAATGGCTTATGACAAAAGTGACCTATGCAGGTCCATGTTGTCGTATAGATCTTAATATAACAGCTACATTCGGTATTTTTAAGATTTTAACAGAATTTTTAACGGATTTTATTGTTTTTTAAGAATTGCCAAATTAGGGAGTTAAAAGTTCTGCTTTTTCCATGTTTTTCCTAAGATGTTAATATTTAATACGATATCTTTCATTGTCGGAAATAGTTATAACTCTCCTACCGACATCCTGCAACTTATGCAGCAGTTTAACATTTTTTAGGGAGATGAATAATTGGTTTGTGTCCGTGCTGCTAGCACATACTTGGCAACGCAAAAATTCGAATACACATATTAAAGAAAAGTATTAGTTGGCAACATTACTACTACTACTCC